TGAGATCTAGTTGGTCGTTGGGAGATATGTGGCCAAATATCCCCAAATCATAATTTTCAAACCAGGCCACTGTAAGTAAAAAAATAAATAAATCTTTCTGGCGCGTTAGGTGGCTGGAGAAGAAGGAAGAAGAGAAGAGAGGAGTCTTCCTTCCAGACGTTTTCGTGCTTGTTTCATGAAAGGGTTATTTTTATACCTTAGCAAGGAAACAACTGTCTACCAGACTTACAATGTTTCTATTCTCTTTAGATTAAGCTCATGGCAGCTGGGAAGAACTAAATAGATATTGGGCATTGGCAGCAAACAGATTACCCTTTTGTGACAAGGCTCAATTATAGATAGTCCTTGATTTACAACCACAATGGGGACCAGAATTTCCTTTACTAAATAAGGCAGTGTGTCTCACTTAACAATTTTATGGCCCTTTCCCCACAATTATTAAGCAAATCGCTGCGGTTGTTATTTGAATCCCCCACGGTGGTTAAGGGAATGCAGCTCCTCTCATTGACTTTGTTGGGAGCCAGCTGGGAAGGTTGCAAATCACATGACCCTTCCCCCAGGTCATGTGACCGTCAATCACATGACTGCCAGCTGGGAAGGTTACAATCACATGACCCCAGGGCGCTGCAATCATCCTAAATACAGTCTGATTGGCAAGCATCACAATTTTGAACACGTGACGGTGAGGATGTTGCATTCATTGTAAGTACGAGGACCGGTCGTAAGTAACTTTTGTCAGTGTCTGTTGTAACTTCCCACCGTCACGAAACAAATGATTATGAATCAAGGATTGCCTGCACTCAATATCTATTATTTTAAATCAGGGTTTTTTTTACCCTCTAGCTAACTCTCCTTATGATTCCGAGAATGGATCAAAAGTGTTGAGGGTCATAATACGTTTAACATTTGAACAATAGGACAAACAACCATCATTTTAACCAATCAAACTACTTTATAATCATGAAAATAGGAAAACCTTTTTTTTTTTAATTGCCAAAAGACTTATATTTGAAAGGAGCAAGAAAAGCGGCCTCTTCCTTTCTTAGGATTTTTACACACCATCCCAGAACACAAAACTTCTTTGGCCAGCTTAGAATAAGCAAACGAAAAAGCAATTTCAGGCGGGATCATAAAAATCCAAGCTTAGTATTGAAGCCAACAAACAGAAAAAATGGAATGCAGTGCCTGGATTCCTGAAGGGTAGCCCTTCGTGAAAGTTTTCACATCCTGGTAACCCTCAACCAGAGGTGGGTTCCTACCGGTTTAGCCTGGTTTGTCTGAGTAGGTAGTAATTCAGCCGGACACGCAACTGAACCAGTTCTATTGTCGGTGCCGCCATCTTGATTTTCGATTCTGCGCCTGTGCAGAACAATCTTCATTGCCAAAAACTTAATTCTTTCCCCTTTTCTAACGTGCGCGTGCACACACCTTTTTAGGTGTAAATGTGCACACGCGCAGAGCATGTGTTTGGTGTAGCGTGCACACGCAAAAATTTTTGCACGCCGAACCAGCAGTAATGCCGCCAGGAACCCACCCCTGCCCTCAACCAATGACTTTCCATGTTCTGGAGATCTCCCTTAGCAAAATCACCATTGCTTGTTGGCTAGAAAAATCCTACGGATGAAGAAGAACTTAAAAGCCTCCCTATGCTGGAAAAGTTACAGGTTTCTTTATTTTGGTATAGGCCAAATTATTTTGGGGAGGAGTGCTGGATAGACCATGGAGAAGACAGATAAAGTTTGGAGCAGTGGTTAAGGAGTTGGGCTAGAAACTGAGAGACTGTGAATTCTAGGTCCTCCTTAGGCATGAAAGTCGCCTGGGTGAGAGTGCCAGTCTCCCTCGGCCCACTCCATCCCACGTGGTGGATGTTGTCGAGAAAAATAGGAGGAGGAAGGAGTATTAGGTATGTTGGCTAACTTATAAATAATAATAATAAACAAACAAACAAGGATCGCTTTCACCAGTTGCTCGCTTCCCATCTTGACAGCGTCTCTGGGAATCTCTGCTGTCTCCTAAGGTGACCCAGGCTTGGGATTCGGATCCTGTTTCACCCCTTGAGAAATCACTTTCCTGTTTGCATTCCTCTGCACCCAAAATAATTCCTTGGATGGGAAGCGGATAATCCCACTGATGTCATTATTTGGCTTATCTTGGCTTGGGCCCCCAAGGGAATTTCCGCATCTTTAAAAGAGTCCCTCAGAAGGGAGAATAGGAGAGGAAGAAAGTAGCAATGTCTCCAGATTTGGCGATCGTGGTTTTCAGAGCTGACAACGCGTCTATCGGGCTGAAACAAAACAGGTTTGGCTTGGGGCAGGCATTCCTGGTAGAGGTGGTTAGCAATGGCCAGGTTCCATATCTTGTTGAACAGTGAGGATGAGACATGGATTAGGCTGCAGAGACACGCACCCAAAAATGTTCAAATGAACTCAAGTTTACAGTTCACGGAGTACGTGGAGTACTTGACTTACAACCATAACGGAGCCTGCCCATCACGGTCTCAAGTTATGATGGTCATAGAGTGAGTCACCCACATATCCAAATCAATTTTATGACCCTTTTTTGCAGTGGTGGTTAAGCAAATCAATAGTTCATTATGGGCCAAAAACCAAAAAAAAGTAAATGCCAGCTTTTGTCAAAACTGGCCCATAATGATTCGCCGAGGTGGCGCAGTGGTTAAATACAGCACTGCAGGCTACTTCAGCTGACTGCAGTTCTGCAGTTCGGCTGTTCAAATCTCACCGGCTCAGGGT